CGCCCCTTCTTCTCTTCCATCGTACGTATTCAAGTAGCTCACAAGAAGAAATAGCTCTTATATATTCTATCCGCCTGTTCGGTTGTCTCTGCACAGAACCCTGTGCTCTTTGATTCCTATACAAACGGAAGATGTGCTGGTGGTATAGTAGTTGGAACTACTGTTGTTCAGCCAGGGGACTGCATTAGCTCCACAACTGCCTTTGCCAGTGCTCAGTATCGAGGCAGCCAATTCGACAATGTGCAGCAGCCCGTGGTATTCTACAGTGAAGAGGACTGCGCGAATGAGATTCAAGGGGTGGTAGCTGAGCTGGGTGATGGATACAACTGTTTTACCTTCAACAATGGCCAGGCGAAAAGTGCAAAGTGGATTGCGTAAGGGGGTTGAAGTTAGCGAGCACATCACCAGGAACTAGGATACAATTGGAGAGTTTCATTGTCATTTTCAGTGCAAGTGGAAGTTTTATATACTATAAATACACCCTTTTTGACTGGAACGAGTTAGATATCTCTACAAGTTACCACTAGACCTTGGCAACGGGTTTTAATCCGGGCGAACTTGTGGATTCATGTTGTTTGTGCTACCCCAGCGGAACTTACCATAAAGGGAAGGACCGAGAGACCTCGCATCCACCAATTAGAATACGATGATCATTACTTTCTCAAACATAAAAACCTTTTTGATACCCTGTCTAGCATCGTGATGAGTTTACCGCCATTTATGCAGGTAATGATAAAGGTGGTGATAATCATTTGTTGGCTCTTTTGGCAAGCATCAATTCAAGCATACCTACAGACTACAGTGGCATCGCCAAATCAGTAAGATATGAGTGGGCCGCGGGATAAGAATACAACCAACGCTTAGGTATGCTGAGGTCGACAACGCAAAGTAAATACATGCTTGAGAGAGTCACTTCTACACTAGTAGGTGAGTTTTTTTTTTTTTTATTCAATTGGCAAATGTCGACTTTGACTTTATTCCGCTCTCGACAACACAAGAATTTACCGAAGACTAACCCAGATGAACCAGATGATACGCAGCAGCTGGTTATCAGATATGGAGGGCTACTGGCTTAATAACATCGCTCAGTTGTTCAGCTCCTCCTATATGAACTTGTGCGGCGGTATGCTCATCATTTGCTGCCAATGGATCATTCATGACAGTTATGTACGACAAGACTACCACCAGGCTATTGGAGATGCAGTTGATGACATACTTCGACGAATCCGGTCTGGCGAAATGTCGCCGGAAACGGGAGCTCAGAAAGCGCATCGAATGCGCAATCGATTCTTCTATTCAATGCGACGCAAGACATCACCGATTGGCCTGCTGGTAGCTCGCTCAATACACATAACAGCCCGCCCATACGAATATTATCTGGAAAAGAATGCGTTGGTCATGTTTGGAATGCCAAATAAGAAGCTGAGTTCAAGTCAGGCAGGCGAGGTTGTAATGAACACAATCAGCAGCGCCAGGCGTCCAAGTACCGCTGTTACTGATATTAGTAAAAGAGCAAGTCTTCTCTGCAAAGGCATCATCGTCGCGGTTGTAGCCGCGTCTGTCTTTTGTGCGTCAATGTCAGAGCACAGAGCAATCGAGATGGCCAGATTATTCGCCTTGACCTCATGCTTCGCAGCTATAGGTCATTTGGGTATAGTCACCACGAAATACATATCACACGGTAGTGCAGGGAGATAGAGAGATGAAAATTGGCACTCTTTATAATGTAATCGAAAATAACGCGGCGAATAAAGTATGTGGAGATGACGGATCATGATTAAGCTCATCAAGGCAGACTGCGTGACTGACAAAGTCCTGCTCCTTTCAAGGCATGTCGTTGCTAATGACATTCATGACTCATGAGAGACTCGGTATTTTTAATCACGGACACAAACGAAATCACTCTGCCAGAGATATTTGAAAAGAGGTTTGTGGAGGAACGTCGTCCATGCACTCGTAACTTGACGGCAAAAATATAACATCCAGATGCACGCTAGGATCATTGATGTAAAGTCAATGGTCTCTTATTTTCCAACCCTCTGACTTGCTACTGATACCCGAAGTATATACAGGCTCCACCAAGCGGAAGACGACATCATCCCAAGCCATAGTTGAAAGCCCCCGTCATGAAGCGGCTTACATGAACGGCGGGTTTGCGTTCGTGAGGAGCTGCACAAAGTAGGCTTGGAACCAAGCACCAGCCTGGGGCGCAGGTTGCAAGGCATCTGGGAGGGCACAATGGGAGTCAAACCGTGGCGCGCTGCTGTCACTAGTGCCGTCACACTCGCCTCCGGGCTTGACCCAGACAAAGGAATCCAGCAGCGAGTCTCCCGTGTTTGTCGATGGGCGAATACCGAATCCAGTGCCGATGACATTGCACCAGTCACCCCACTGCTGCTGCCCGGTTGGCTGCTTGCCAGATCGGCCTTGGTCGGTAATGAAGAAGGCGTTGGACCAGCCGTGATTGGCAAGAAGAGGTCCGATGGCGTGGATGTACAGCTTCTCGTTGTAGACGGCGTTACCTTGCGTGTACGAGGGGGGGCTGGTGATATTCCACCCATTGTAGTTGGCAACATTGGTTGCCAGCCCGCGAAGAGCCGCTGGAGACGATGCATTCTTGTAAACGTTTGCAAATAGTTGGGCGGCCGGATCTTGATTTGCCGGCCAACCAAGCCATCCGGCATGGCCGGCGTCCAAGTACATTGCGATGTTTGGAAGATTCAGCTGCGTGATGGCGTAGTTGATGCATTCAAGGTAGGCAGACTGGGCGTTCGCGCACTTTGGAGTACCCAAGTTCGTGACCAGATTGGCAAGAGAATCAGGTTCTAGAAGATGTAACAACGATTAGCACGACGGCAGGGATGGCGAGGGTCCCCGAAAACTCGTACCAATAACCAAGAGGGTGCGAATATCAGAGTACTCGACGACGATCTGACGTATAGTGTCGATATAGTTCTTGTACTTGTCCACACCACCATCGGCAATTGAGTATTCACCGTTGGAAGCAAGGGCAGCACAGTCGCGATCTGGCAAATCATACACGACAAACTGTCCAGCATAGTTACCCCCATTCTTGTTGGCGGTGCGAATGTCGGCCAAGGTTTGCTCCATGAGAGTGGTCTTGTCAAGAGTATCCCTGCAATAAATGATGAGTCTTCAATGTCGAAATATCTTGGGTTCAGGAGAACCTACAGCCACATAAAGGAGGGAACCTTTGCGACAGCTGCTGCAGCAGTGGCCATGGCTCCAGTCAAACTAGGAATAGCGAGGCTGCTAACTTCAGAGGCATAGTATGCATTGGCCCAAGGAGTAACCCCAACAAAAGGATTGCCTGAGTATGTGGCGGTTCCCGATCCGACTGGGGGAATTCTCGTAGTGGTAGATCCAGGAGGAGGGGTTACGGAGCTCGACCTGGCGGTTGTGGACGATACTCGAGTAGTCGTCGACGAGGCGCGCGTGGACGAGCTTGAGCTTGCAGCGCCCGGAAGACATTGGGAGTAGTAGTCATTTGAGTAGACGCATGTACTTCCCGCAGCACAGCAAGTTGGACCCGACCAGTTCTGGCCACCACATTGCCCCCTTGATGTATGTCAGTGTTTGGCTCTCCTGGAAGAACTCCATCATCATCTTACCAAACGCTTGAGCAAGCTTGTCGCTCCTCTAGAGGCACACTAGCTGCCAATGTGGCCAGCGTAGCCAGCGTGGTGAAAATGCCGACGATCATGTTGCTATACGCAGAGGATGATACTTGAAGCCTCTTGAGGTGAGCCGCTCTGTCATCATGTTGCGCTTCTTGCAGGGCTTTAGTCCCCTTTTATACGGGCGATGTCTGTGACTCCGTGCGTTGAAACATCCTCACGATGTAGTATTCGGGAACATAGGATAAAGCCCGCTGAGTTTGTAACATCGTATAGCCTTGAGTGGCGGCTAATAAACTTCATCCCCGCCTTGCATATTACCCAATGAAGAAGTTGGTTGAATGCGCCTTTAATATGTGGAGTGTAGCATTCTCTCCAGAATAGCCTTGTCGTACGGCTAATAAAGCGTAAACGTTGCGCGTGGCATTGCGCTGCACTCTGAATTAGTGGACGGAGTAAACATATAGTAAGAGAGACGATCTTCCAGGTAGAAAATAGGCTCTATTCAAGGCTAATGGGCTGTGGCATTATTCCTTTCTACATTAGCGCATTATACCGAGGGAATAAAACATACTGGCAGTTCGGAAGGAAAAGCATTAGGTGAGAATAGCCGTTGACAGAACTTACACTATACACACCTGTGCTGTCCTTGGACTGTCTAAGGTCTGCTTGCCTCGCGATCCTAGTCTAGGTAGTGTTACGATCCCTTCTCTACTAAGTTTGCCATAATAGGCTGAGAGGCTAATAGGCTAAGCTTGGCTTCCTAATACAAGGCAAACCTGACTTCAAACCGGACAGTATTCTCTGTGCCTTCAGTAACGCTGTTCTATATTCACGCACATAGAGGTCAAACGGAATATGCCTGCTGAAGACTACAGACTACGGACTATCAGTCTCGATCTAAGATAGGAAGATTTTCTAGATATTTTAGTCTTCGTTATTCTCTTTCAAGTTTTACTATGACTTGTTATGCTGGTTGTGTTTTTCCTTCTATTGCAAAGGCTGGATTAGAATATATAAGAGTGGAGAAAGCATGATAAAGATTTCAGTCGCGGATAATACAAATATTAAATCTGCTTAGAAACTACGAGACGTTGTGTATAATGAACGTATTCTGTGCTTTGCAAAGTATTAACTAGAGTAAGAGAGCTTTGCGATAATAAACATATTGCATAACAATAGGAAGTAACTCGCAAACATCGAGTTCTTTATAACGACAGAAGAAGTTAGAATAAGACATATCTTAATGACCTTAGAGACTCAAGGTTGTTATAGTATGATTATATGTTAGGGGCATCTAGAGCTAGACAGTGTTAGGAGAGGAGGCTTTATATTTATAGAACCACTGACCTCTGAATTCATGTGTAGCCTCTGTAACTGAGCCACCCCTGCCTAATTTTAAAGTTTCTCTGCTACTTTATTGCATTGATTAGAAGGACATGTTAGTATATAAGGTATGCAATGTTCAAAGGCTCTAGCAAATGGCTTTGAAAAGAACTTAGACTTCTATATGTATGTAAACTTGTGCTGTGGGGGGCAATTCATGCTTTGTAGAAGGGCCGCAGTGGCTTCACCTCTCACTTTGTCATAGGTACGTGAAGCTCCGTTAATTTGCTATAGCTGACCAAATCTTGCTTTCCAGAAGATATTCCGTCAGAGTGGCCCGTGTCCTCAAACTTTCTGGCGAGTTGTCCATGGCACTGGAAAAGTATCGATGCTGATGTCCTTGAGCACCGAAAAGGGCGACGTGCGCTCAGCTGCGCAACCTCCAGTGATGCAGACAGGGCTTACTGGAAAGACTAACGGAGACATTCCTGCCGACTATCATGTGGTGACGATTGATGATAGTATACATGTAATGAGGATCCTGGCTCACTCTCAAGTATGTATATGGAGGCGTAGACTGTCGTCTCTGGGTGGTATTAACAGCACAATAAAACGTGCAATGCGATTGTATATCGCGATCGTGCCTGCAACTGAACCACTACCATCACAAGCTACCTGCTAGGTAAAAGATTCGGAACAGCATCCAAGGCCGTACGCAGAAGTTATTAAAACAATTACTTATAATGATACGCTAGAAAGAAAGGAATCTCACAGTTAACTAGAGTGTTCAAAAGCCTTTTGGGGCCAATTAAGGCGGCCACATATACCTAACGGAGAACAAATATCCCGTCTCAAGTACATACTTAGGTAGTATTTCTGTCCAGCTAACTTCAACTAGAAGGTCAACCAACCGACAAGTGGAGAACCTTTGCCCAGCTTTAAGCACCTCAGCGCTTGGCATCTCAACCTCGGTGTGCAAATGCAGCCGTAATCTTTAACGATAGTGCTGTCTAATGCAGGCTAGACCATTCTAGAGACAAGCTTATTGGATGTCGGGAGTAGTATAAAAAGGGTGGTTCGGGCGATAAGAGATCAAACATCCACTCGTAGCTTTCCGTCTCTAAAAATTCACTCCTCTCCCTATTTATAAGGATGCTACTTCAGCGATGGATGCTTGGTGCGGCTCTCAGTATCGGCTCAGCGATGGCCAGCCCTGGTTCATGCTTAATGCCGCTGAGCTGCCACAATACCACTGCTGTTTCTGATACTTGTCGCTTCGTCTATCCTGGTGGTCAGCTCCTTCTCACGCAATTCTGGGATACTAACCCGTCTACTGGCCCTAATAACTCGTGGACAGTCCACGGCCTCTGGTAACATGCCCGCGTATCAGATTATCAATTTTTGTCAGCTAAATCTTGAGTATAGGCCCGACAATTGTGATGGAACCTACGAGCAAAACTGCGACAGCTCTAGAGCGTACACCAACATTACGGCCATTCTTGAAGAAGCAGACCCCACTACGCTGGATTTCATGAAGATATACTGGAAAGACTACCAAGGCAATGATGAAAGTTTCTGGGAGCACGAATTTGGGAAGCATGGCACATGTATCAGCACTCTTGAGCCACGGTGCTATCCCAACTATAAGCCCACTCAAGAGGCTGTCGACTTCTTCAGGAGGGCTACGACCTTGTTCCAAACCCTTCCATCATACGATTGGCTTGCTTCCGCCGGCATCTATCCATCAACGACGGTGACGTATACTCTGGCCAAGATCCAAGATGCTCTTACCGTGCATCATGGCCAGAACGTCGTCATAAACTGCGACGGAAATGGTGAGCTCAACGAATTATGGTATCACTACAACGTCCGTGGTTCGGTCCAGAACGGCACATTTGTTCCCGTCGAGCCTGTTGGTGCTCCATCTACTTGTCCCAAAACCGGTATCAAGTATCTGCCCAAGTACAGCACCCCTACATTCACAACAACTGTCAGGACGGCCACCCGTACGTCTTCGACCACGGGCACAGCTACTCATCCGAGCGTACCATCTGGTGTTCTCTCTGGGAAGGGTTACTTGTTTGTCGACACTCCTGGCACAACGAGTGGTGGCTTTCTAATCAGCCGTGGAACTTGGTACCGCGACAGCGGCGGTACTCCCGCTACTTACACTGCCACGCCTAACGCGGATGGCAGAACGTTCGCTTTAAACACTAGCAAGGGAAAGTGTGCTATCTTGAGCGACTCCTCTCTTAGCTGCGATACTTCTATCACTACAGGTAGCAGCTTTGGCTGGGACGGCGCACACCTAGTTTTTGAGGGATTGTCGACATTTTATGCCACAGAGGTTCCAACCGGACAGGGGCAGGGCCTGGTCTACGCGAGCCCTCAGGCAATTTTGTTGCAGATTATCTGGAGTCCGTCATAGATGGCAATTGTCCAGCAACTAGAAGTTATGTAAACCTTTGCCTTATATGAAGCATTACGAAGCGATTGTACAGCACTCACTCATGGCCCTAGTAAGCTGCTATTTAATTGTGTTATTAGGTAATTGAAGCTCTATATAGAACGTATTTAACTAATTGTTGACAAGGAGAAGTACTTAACTTTAATGCTTCGCTTAACTAACATGGCTATTCAACCTAGAACATTGAATTTAACGCGGTTAGGCCCGTCTAGGACCGGCAACATCCACAGCTCAACACTCTCCCCCCGGCCCACAACACTGTCTGCTTTGCTTGTGGCGGTGTCTGTGCTTGCGCCTGTCATGATCATCGGCTTAGAACCATCCAATAGCGCAGCTTCGGGCGAGAGACACAGCAGCTGAACTGTATGCGAACCACCACGACGAGGCCGCACCGCCATAAGTGGAATAGCCCCACAGGATAGATAAAGGAGCGATAGTAGAAATGCGACACCCAAGCGATAACACGAAAATGGGCATGGTGGCAAAACAACAACATCTGTTTCAGTCGGCATGAAGTCTTCTTATAACACGTTATTGAAGTTGCAGTTAAGAGAGCTCCCGCGAGTTTTGGGATATTAAAATATTGCCGGCAGCATCTGAGTGGTACACTGCCATAGCTCGCTCGCGATAGTAGGCAGTTGCGATAGCAAGAGTGTATCTTGCACAGCGGCCAAAGGACTCACTTCTATAAAGAAAGATTGCTGCAGTTGTTAGTTTAATCTTTCTTTTCCTCGACATGATAAACCTGGGTTAAGTAAGTGATTTAGACTCTAAGCATGTTATGTCTTCTGGCAGTAAACATAATAAAGTCCTCTTACTATCTTCAGTCTGATAAAATATCGCTTAGCTTTAGTGATTGGTCTAAATGCATAATAAGCTGTGCACTTGTATGCAGCTGCTGTAGACCCTTATATAATACGTATAATACTAGGTAACTTAGAAGGGAGACATCTTGGCGTTGAGTCAGTAATCCTTTTCTCTATCTAGACAATCTATCCGCAGCAACATGGTAATGTTTATCCGCGGCCTTTTGCACCGCATTTAGACAATCCACTTTTCGATACTTGCCCACGTCCGGCTATCCGTGCTCCCTATAGATATCCCATAGCAATTCCCTTATCCCAGCTGACCTACAGCCAAGAGTAGTGTAGGCATCCACAACTAGCCAATAATTAATTAGAATAAACTGGAGCTGGAGAAAATGGTCCTTGAGAACCTCGAAGAATTCCGACACGGCCCATGCAATACACTCCCCACGCCATTTAGCCTAGGCTTCGTCCTGCTCATAATTATACAGGTTATCGTTAACAGACTCTTGCAAAGGCTGTACTTGACTTCCCCGGGGCATTCGTACCTTAGAGCAATGCAGCTCTGTGTCAATCAGAAAGATAGGATTGTCCCGTCCACTATCTGTGAGACTGATATCGTGAGAAGGAATGACTTCGAACAGAGACGCGCTTTCAGTTACTACCCTCCGATCTTCGGCTTGAGACGGGTTGCGGCTTAAGAGACGGCCGATATTCTGCCAGTTGGCGAAATAGCAATATATTGTTGCTTGAATCCTGTGTGTGTCGCTATTAGGCTCTCGTATGTATGCTAGGTAGATGGCGAAGTAGTGATATTACTTCTTCAGTCTTCCCCAACCCTCCCATAGTTAAGGTTATAATGTCCGGCCACCCCTCTGCTAGCAGCTCAATGACATCCGACTCCTTGAGATATAGCTCAGAAAGTTGCAGTACCCCGCGGATGGCGGAGATGCACTCAACGTGCGAATATTTAATTTCGCAAAGTTCTAGCATTCTCCTTCATTATGAGGAGAGGAGAATTCAGCCCAGGTAAGGAGATGATTATAGTGGCAATAAGTAAACATTCTGAAAAAAAAAGGGGTCGACTTAGAGATCTTCTCATAGAAAAAGAGCGGGTCCATAGGCAAAAAGAGAGTGTTGGTAAATAACTCTAATACACAAGCTTAATTTAAGCGGTTCGAAGCCCCAGCGAGGCGCATGACTTAATGTGATCTTATAGGACTTTTTGTTTAGCTTGATAGGACGTATAGATCTAAGCATAACTCCCTCGCAAATGTCCCAAGGCCGGACTTGAGGGCCTTATATCAAGGTACTAGTAAAGCAATCACAGGCATTACCTAGGTATATATAACACCGTCTAGTTAAGTGGGTTGTTAACTGAACTGTATTCTAAGCGCTGTCTACCTTAGTGCTATTTTTTCTCAGACGACCTTCTCTCGTATTAACGTTTCAGGGCAGTAGCTCGGCATGCCACCTTGTGCTGTTTGTGATGGGCGACTTGACATGTTCGTCCGCAGTACATGACCGACTTACACCTCCCACATAACATCAGCGGCACGGAACCCTTGTCGCAGTTTGCGCATCTCGCCAGAGCGGACGAGGATCTACTTTCTCTTCCGCTCTCCACCGCGGCTAGCAAATCCCTGGCTTTCGCTCTCGCTAATCTCAACACCCGCTGCTCGCCCACACTAACGTGCGCCGCCGCCCACGCGTTGCCTCCAACCGGATGAACGCCCTCTGCGAGTTGGGTTTCCAACTTCTCCAATGGAGTTGCGAACCCATCTAGAAGACTTCCGATCGACTCTTCCACGAACTGTAGAATCTCCGTTTCGTTTGAGTCGCTGATCTTCCCGTCTGTACCGTCGATCTGCTGGAGGGCTATGGCAGCAAGCCCTGAAACGTCCGCCCGCTGTATACGGAGATATCGAAGAATACTTTTTGGGAGCGGATCGGTTAGCGTGAGCGAGACGGTAGTCGTCGAATCGAGCCCGGCCGACACCCAGAGCTTCTGCTTCTGCTCATACAGCGGCGCCATAGGGTGCGTCGTAAGAACGAGATCGTAGCTGTCGTTAGGGTTACCAGGTACAACGAAGCCATAGAGACGCAGCAGGCGGTTATTCGGAATCGGCCCATAATTGATGAAAACCTAGGGGGGGCAGCACCAGATAAGCAGTTATACTGGTGTTCTTCGACAGGCCAAACATACCTGATCTCCGACTTCGTAATCTTTCCCTGCCAGGACAGAGAGATCTCCAGACTTGGCATCTAAGACATGACATTGCTGAACTTCAGACGAGTGGTTCAACATGTCTGCAAAGGGCGCCAAAAGTCGGAGTGAGCTTCCATCAGGCAGCGTGAAATCCATTGAACGACTCCACACCGTGCAGAGAGCCCATTTGTACTAGAGACAGAAGGCAAAAGGAAAGTTAAATGGCTGCACATATCATCTATTGCCAGCGCAGGAAACCTACATCTTCGATAGTGAACTTGTTGAGTGGGAAAAGATCCGGATGCTGTGCAAGCACTCGGACGACCAATTCCCTGTAATCGTCTTCGATCTTTTGCTGAAGTTGCTTTGTGATAGTGTATAGAGAAGTCCCAGCGCAAACTTCCAGCTCTTCGTCCGAAAAGAAGATGCTTGAAGAGTAACTACCAGGCAACGCTGCCACATGGGTTCGAATGCCATCGTATCCCGACTCGCGCGATCGGACAAAGAGGATATATATAGCCAAGATGTCTTCGACAGTTAGCGGCGGCAGCGAGGAGCGAAGAGCTGGACCAAGAAGGGAATCGCGATATGCACCCTCCACGCTCCAAAGAATGTCCGAGGGAATGGTGAGGATTCTCTCCCCTTGCCTGAATCGACGCAGTGTTTTGACGCCGCGCCCGGTGACTGGAAAGTCTGCGAGCTCCAAGTCGCCCAAGCCAACCGCCCCGGATTTCATAAGCCAGCTTTCCATAGCCTAAGCTAATAAGAGCAAGCGTAAAGCAACACTAAAGAATAGACTGATGCTCTAGGCCTTCCACCTGACGTCTGGGGCTCTAGATGTTTATAGGACATGGGCTTGTCGAGCTTATTAACCATGAATTGACAGAACCAGAATAGAAGAGAAAGGAATAAGTCTAATGCCTGCTAAAGGCGTTTATAAGGGCCTAAGCGAAGCTGCTGCGTGGAAAGCGCAAGCGCAGCTTTAGCGCCCTATTAGATATAGATAATTAATATTATGCCCTGCCTGCCCTCTTTATAATTATTATTACTATTAAGAGCCTTATTATTAACAGCCTTAATAGTATAGTATATAAAAAAAAAGTTATAAAAAGAAGCCTTATATAAGATTTAAATGCTTAACCTTCTAACTGCTTTATAATACTAAGGGCCTTTTTAAAGCTATAGATTATATTTATAAGTATAGTAAGAGAGGTAATGCCCTTATACCTTTAATTACTTCTGCTAAGCATTACTATAGCTATACCTAAGCCTAGCTAGTAAGTATAATCTACTACTTATAAAGGTTATCTTATTATAAAAAAAGACAGCTAAAATAGTAAAAAGGTAAAAACTCTTTATATACTAGCTTTAATATACTGCAGGCTAGATTTAAAGACTTAATTACTTATTTTATAATACTTAGCTTTTATATAAGTAAAAAGGCTTAAAGCCTTTTTTCTAACTGCTTTTATAAAAGTTAAGCGCCTTATTATAAGGTAGTGTTATTACTTTAGTTATTTTATTAAATATCTTATATATAAAGAGCAGGTATATATATAATTAATATAATAGCTAAAGGCTATTACTCCCCTTAAACTACTATACTAATTATAATATTAATATCTAGCTAGTGTTATAAGGAGAAGAGATATTATTACTTATAAAGGATAGGTTATAACACTTATATATATAAGGCTTAAGAGGCTATAATACTTATATATATAAGGCTTAAAGAAAGGTATTATAACACTTATATACATAAGGCTTAAAAGAGAGGTTATTATAATATTACTACTTTAACTAAATAATAAAATGCTTAGTGTTTAATACCTTTTAATATATAGCTTTATATTTATACTACTGTTTTAAAGGCTTTTTTATAATATAGGCAGTAGAATATAAGTATTAAATAAAGGCATGTTTATAATAGCATTAAATACTAAACAGCCTTATATATTATAAATAGAATATATATATTAAGTTACTATTCTTAATCTTTTCTTTTTTCTTCTTTTTTTATTATTATAATTATTACCCTTATTTTTATTACTACTTTCCTTATTAATATACTTAAGATTTTTATTATAGCTTTAAAAAAAGCTAACCTTAAGGGTAAGGGCAAGAGTAAGGGTAAGGGTAAAGCTATTACTATACTTAAGGCTACTTCCTTTAAAGTAGTATATCTCTTTCTATCCTTTATATTTTTAAGCGCTAACTTTATATTACTTTTAGTAAAAGCTAAAGAAATAAATAATATAGTTTTAAGTTAATAATAATAGCGCTAGCTTATTATAAGCAGTAGTAAAAGTAATCTTATAAGATTTACTATATAAGAATTATATTAAAAGCCTTATTACTAGTAAGAAGGTAACTTCTTTTAATTAATATATAAATTTAAAAAGAAGCTCTTAGTATTATAAGCTTTATAATAAAGGCAGCTATAAGTATAGACCCTAGTATATACCTTCCTTCCTTCCTTATCTCTTTTAAGACTATTCTTATTACTAAATATATACTATAGCTATTATTAGCTTATGCTCTTTATTTAAAGACTTAATTATACTATTAATAAAGAAGATAAAAAGGTATTTCTTTTATCTTTTAACTTTTAAATTCCTATATACTATATTAATAATACACTAAGTAATAAAGTAATACTATATAGCTATTTATCTTATAATTAATATACTTAATAATAAGGATCTAGCACTTAAGTTAAATAATAATAATAAAGGTAATAATAATAAGGTAAGCTATAAGTAAGCTTATAAGGCTTAAAAAACTATAGCTAAGTATATCTTTTATAAATAGGCGCTAGTATTAAAAAGAGAAGATACTATTACTATTTTTATAATTATTATTAGTCTTTAATTATATTTTAATATATATAAAGAATAAAATTCTAGAATTTATTTATATAAAAAATATATATAAAGGATATATATAATTAGTATTAAAAGGCAAACTCTTACTATTTAAATATTAAATATATATTAAAAAGCTATAAAGGTAATAAAAAAGAAAAGAAAAAAGAAGAAATAATAATAAAAATAATTTAAGCAGCTAGCACTAGTATAATTTTAAGAATATAGCATTAATAATTAAGGTAATAAGGATCCCTAGCTAGGTTAGTCTTATTATAAATTATAAAAAAGTTAAAAAAAGTATTAAAAAAAATGCCTTATAAAGTCTTAACTTATAATACTATTATATATATAAGGCTTATAAAAAAGTCTCTTTATAAGATATTAATAATAGCTTACTTTATAATATATCCTTAAGACTTATAAACTATAATTATATAAGTAATAGTTAGTAAGAATTATATTTAACTATAAAAAGCATTTCCCTTAATAAAGTTATATATAGTATAAAAGATAGGCATTATATTATATAAATCTTAGGGTTAGGGTTAGGGTTAGGGTTAGGGTTAGGGTTAGGGTTAGGGTTAGGGTTAGGGTTAGG